AATGTTGAATTGAAGCATATATATATATATATATAATACATAGATAATGCAAGCTGTAAACTATGGTCTATAGATAAGTTAGGATCAATGGTAAAAAAATGCTTCGCTTATTTTGGGTGTGCAATCCAGGTACGGAGTGAGAGAGTGGCATGAGGAGCCAGCTAGAAATGTTTTGGAAGGTTGTTTGATAAGAAAGTAACGACTAAACAAGTGAGGGCAGGGTTGGGTTGAGATTGACCACAAACGCAGAAAACGCCTGAAAAGATAGAAAGCAGAGTGATTTTTGTGTGTTGCGTACCCTCCTCATACAGTTCCATGGCATTCGTTCGTGAATATCAATTATCTATCTGGGCCGCATGGTGTGTTGTTGTGGTGAACCCGTGAATGCCAAAACTAGCACAGCCGCGGGATTTATTACCTGGACTGGACCCACCTCTAATGCGGTATTCATTTTGCCGACATTGTAAGGAATGATTCAAGCATTGTTCTAGTCTATAGAGGTACTTAATTTTGTTTAATATAGTAATGTATACCAGTTGAAGTAATTAATCAAGTTGCAGGTGCATGTGCAAAAGTACCCTCTTGGTAAACTTCAGGTGCAAGTATATTAATAATAAACTTAATGTTGCAGAACCAGTACTTTGAAAGCTATTTAAGTTTGGTTTTGGAAATTTGAAGTCACACATTCCAGGTCATCTATATATATTGAAGTGCTTTTCTTGCTAGCTGCAGCTACATCTATACTGAGAAGCTACCAATCATAAAAACTGACAAGTAATGAATGTAGATCTATTAGCTAGATTTATTGAATAGCCGATTTGAAAATGACTTACAAATGGCACACCCCAAAATAACTGAAATTTTTGCCTATGATGGGTGAGAAGCATTTCTTCTTGCACGTAAATCATGCCTATTCACATTGGGATTAGGTGCCATCCAACGACCATCAATCTAATGGTAGATATATCAACCGAGGTGAAAGTTCATAACATTAATCAAACATTAAATATAAGAGAAACAGTTATTCACACTCCCAGTTTATCATTATGAGTATCTTCAAAATTAATATTTTAACATTCTATAACGGTCACAAAAAGAATACTTTATGACAAAACAACGTCATTGAAATTATACCTACATATTCTTTAGTAAATTCCTGAACTAGAATGTGGTAACGGATGGTGAAAGTATGAGGTTTACGAGAAGAAATATGCAAGAAGAAATTGTGAAGTGGAAAGAGGGACATCACTTTTCTTGTGTAAAGGAAAGTCGGCATGGCATGCATTGAATTACATATTCTTGGGGTTTAAGCCTAAAATCCGAAAACCCATGAAATAAATATTACCTGGAAAGTGAAAAAGAAAACCACGTATGTTATTACAAAGCCCCTCATTGTTTTGCAAGGAAAGAAACAGCTGCGCAACCAAAACCCAACTCGCTCTCTCTCTCTCTCTCTCTCTCTCTCTCTCTCTCTCTCTCTCTCTCTCTCTTCCCTCCTGTATATAAAGAGCAGCGCTGCCATTCTCTTTCTGCTCAAAACTAAATCAACCCCATTTCGCATTTCCTCTCCTCATAATAACCATTATAATATATAGTGTTGGATCAGTTGTCGCAATGGCCTCATCGGGATCGTGGACGTCGAGGCAGAACAAGATGTTCGAAAATGCCCTAGCTGTTTACGACAAGGACACCCCGGACCGCTGGCACAATCTGGCGAGGGCTGTGGGTGGGAAATCAGTGGAGGAAGTGAAGAGGCACTATGAGATGCTTGTGGAAGATGTCAACAAGATTGAGGCTGGTGAGGTGCCCTTGCCCAATTATAGAAAACCTGGTGCTGCTGCTGGGAACGGCAAAGCCTACTCTAACTCCATGGATATTGAAGAACAAAGGTATATATATATATATCAATCTCATAACATTATTTTAATGTTTGATTACAATTTTCTATTAATTTCTTGGTCTGCATTTGTTGTTTAAGGTTTTATTCTGTTTTATTTAATTATTTTTTTTATCATAAATACTTTTGGAAAATGTAGCATTACTCTGAATACTATTTTTTTCCATGCAGGATGAAGAGTCTAAAGCTACAATGAAATGAAGGTTTTCATTTTTTTAAAAAAAAAATGCTACAAGGAAGGAGAGAGTAAACCAGAGTTCGTATTTCTTACAGAAAAGAAAATGCGGAACTTCTACTAGTAGTGGCTATGTAAGACAACAACAAAGAGTCAAATGTGATTAGTTTCATTTCTTGCTGTTTATTTTCCCTTGTCGAATGTGTCATATTATATATATATATATATATATTTTCCTTTGCAGCTCCTTTATATGTACTGATAAAATTGAAAAATGTCATTTTGGTGGTCACCTTACTCACTTGTGGTGAGTGCAGTCTCTTAAGTATATCTAGTTTTGTTTCAATGAAGGAAATGGAGTGTTTGTACGAAAAACCTTCTTTTTATTTCACACAAATCGTAAACGTGCGAATTAGGTTTTTAAACTTCTCACGCTAATTACTGACATGATGACATCAATATATACAGAATCATTGCTTTCATGGAGGTTCATTCAGAGCCGTCCAAGGTGGAAGTATCAAAACTAGGCCACTTTTGAAATGTCGGAAAGAAGTGACATGAAGGAAAAAGCACTTGGAAATTTGTAATATTGGTCGTCATCCCCAAACAAAATTAGTGTTAAATATTTGACTTAGTGACCCTTCGTCCCGATAACTTATATGTAACAGAGATGCACTGTGACGGCATATAAGCTTATCACACAATGTCATGTTGAAAAGTTGCATTACAATATCATAAAGTTAAAATACATGATAATGAGTGATTGACTTGAGATAACGTCAGTGATATCCCCAGTTGTTGAGGCCCAAAAAATCCACGGATGAGCCCAAATAAATTCATGGACCAAAATGAAGCATTATTCAGAAAAAACCCAATTTGGAGCATGCAAAGATTCGCCATGCACGAATCACACTTCGCATGTCATGCCAAATAAATAATCCATCGTGCTAGGAATCGATATTAAGATTGTAAAACGCGTTAGTTCTACAAATCTGTGCTAATTATCCCTTCAAGCATCATAATTAAAAAACATGTCAAGCAACATGCCACGCCAAACGGGAAATTGTTATGTCACATCCAACCACGCTACAAGCCTAAGTGGGCCCAAGGCACAAAATTACCTGGGGCTTGCTGAGAAGGTTGTGGTATGGATGGGAACAAGCGATCGCATGGCCCATTGAGGGTTCGAGGAAAAAAAGTTTTAAGCCACTTGGGGGCATTAAAACTCAAGCATGTTCCTAGAGCCCAAATACATGGGTGTTAGCATGAAAGAAAAAGGGAAAAATGGTCCAATGCCTTAGGAGGACACCTAGTAGCCTGTCATAACATTTAGACCAGCCCACATCAATAGAATGCCCAAAATTAATAAAGTCATTTCCAGCAGCTTGACGAAAACCTATCAAACGCTGGAAATAATAGGCCAATAACCCAATACCGTGCATTCAACCCAACCACTTATAAAAATATGGCACCAAGTTCCACCCCTGTTAGAACTCCAAGGATGGTCAACAAAGGAGCCATGGCAGAGACCGAAGGAAATCTATGAAGGTAGGAAGAATACCCATCGGACAAAAAGCTCTATCCATCTTCTTTTCCATTACAAGCTTCATTTGGAAAACGAAGAAGGAAATCAGGTAGGGCATCATCCTCATGGGGAGGTCCAGCTGTGTCAAACCCTTGGAACCACAAACCCATGCGCCTTGGATAGAAGAATTTCACAAAAAAAGATTAAGTGGAAAGAAGCAACGAGAAAGGGAGAAAAGGGTTAGATGAAATTAGGGTTCTTTGTGCCTATAAAGGAGGGCTTTTGCTATTCAGAAAGCTAACCTATCCAGAACCTGACCAAGCTTTGTCAAACAACCTGGAATTTACTCGAGCCACCAAATCCTCTTCCTCCGTTGTTTTCTTCTTTTCTTGAAATAAAAATCTTCCTAATTTTCCTCTACCTCTGTAAAAAACTCATGCTTTTCTCTCTCTCAAATTGTTAAACTCGTGAAAGCTTAGCTCCTATGCCACAAGCTCCTCAAGCTAAGTCATTTATCAATTTGTTGTGTCTTTTGGCTATTAGTGAAGATGACCTAAAAGAGTTTTTCTAAAATTTCATTAGACTCTTCAAAAACTCTTTTTGAAGCTTGGTTCTCGAACTCAGGTACTTGGGGAATTTTTGTTCGTTTCCTTCTTACGGCAGCTCAAGCCTATTCGTCAGGCTGCTGGAACAAAAAGACCCCTACACCAGTATAGGTAAGTTTTCTCATCCATGCCAGCTGTTTCATTATTTCATATTAATGGACACTCAATGGGAGCTTCTTCGTTATGCTAACTAAACAACTGATTTATATTTTAAAGTGGTGTAAGGGATCCTTGAGAGAATATACAAACTTACATGATGAGCCACTCTCTCCTTGACTTACAAGATTTCCATAATTAAGTGATAGATCTATTTTTTTTCAAAGCAAATATCCAATTTATATGATTAGGTAATTATATCATTTTAAACCCAAATTTTTACTAAGTTCCCAAAATTTCAAGACTTCCAATTATTATATAGCAGTTTTATTTGAAAATAGTAAATCATTAAAAAGAGAAGAAGAACCATTAGAAGAAGAGGAGCTAGCTGAAACAATAAATTTTATTTAACAATTACCCTTATTAAGAAAATTATTTACAAAGTTATCCTGATTTTCCTTTTTCTCCCACGGAACTGAGCTGACAAGGCTCGGACATTTTTGAGATCCGCCAATATCCATTGGGCCACATTGACTCGATTTCAGGCGGTCCATTCAAATCGATTTGGGCTCGGTCCAAAGAAAACGTAATAAAAAATCGAAAAGGCCAATACGACCAATTTGTATTCGTCGTACTTTGCACAACAGTGACGCGTTAGGGTTAAAATGCCAATACGGCGTCGTAAAAACGTGCCTAAATGAGTAAACGGCGTGAAAAAGCCCAAGACCCGCTTTGGCATTTCCTCGTGTCCGAGCCCCAAATCAACTGCTTCTTCCAAGTTCGAAGGCTCGGAGTGACTCACTGATTGACTGCCATGGAAGCAAATTCTTCTTCGTCTTTCAAGGTTCGTCACTCTTCTTGCAAAAGTACCAGTTTCTTGCTTCTCGTTGCACAATTTGAAGTTCGAACTATATAGCTAGGGTTTCTATGCGTTTCTCGTAGTTAATTGCGGTTGATAACGAAGCTTTAACAATGGTTAACAAAATTGAAAGGAGGTCACATTGCTGAATATTAGGCACTGTTTGGTTTCAGCTCCAAACACGCTTCTCCTAAACAGAGTGTTGTATTATGATTAGGAAGAACAGATGGACCTGAAAATATTAGTTACTCTTAAGATGAGATTAGTTTCGTTAATGTGAAACTTGTACTCGTTTCCACTAAACTTTGCTGCTCGGAGATGATGTTAATGTGCGTGTGCGATTTTTCAGATAATTTTAGGTTCAGCTTCGGTAGCACGTCGGAAAATATTGGCTGAAATGGGATACGAATTCACAGTCATGGTACTGCCAATTTTAATTTTCCATCTGAAAGATCCAGAATTATCTTCCCTTCTGATTTAGAAAGTAAACTCCCTTTATTACTAGACTGCAGACATTGACGAGAAATGCATCAGAAAGGAAAAGCCAGAGGAGTTGGTTTTGGTTCTTGCCCAGGCAAAGGTTTGGTCTTCTTTTCCTTTCCTTATTTTTTTATCCATTAAGAATCTAAAACTGAAAATTCTAGTCAGCTAAAGTTAGAATGTTCTTCTTTTAGTTGATATCAGACTGATGCTCTTTTATGGGTTGAACTTTTTTTATTTTATAAATTATATATATATATATAATTAAATTATATATACATCTATATATCTGCTATGATCTCCCTGTTTAACAATAGAACGCATCAAAGACTGGTATCACCTAGTGACATTTATGGAGGATACATTGGCTTTTTTGTTTTTGATAGTGGTTGAGAAAATAAAGGAAGATGCTAATTGGTTGATCCTAATATTATAATTTTGTTATGCTCAACTACTTCATCCATGTAAGTTTAGGTGTTTGTTTTGCTTGTGTATAAGTGTCTGCATGTGCGTGTTGTGTTTACTGCATACTGTTATTAATGTATTGGCATTGTCTCAATGAAGCCCTGGTTTCTGGTTGAAATAGAACTGACTTACCTATCTTAGCTGATGGAAACTTCTCAGGCAGAAGCTAATTCACAAAGGCTCCCAGTTGGTGACTACATAAAGGATGACGAACCAACGCTATTAATTACTTCTGATCAAGTATAAATCACATCTTATATAGCATATTTATAGTGTCGGTGTCCTTGTCATGTATGCTTTGCATATTTAAGCTTGTGGAGAATACACCAAAATGCATATATGGAACTTTTGCCATACCTACCTCTGCCTCAATATCCTGAATAGGGTAAGGAAGAAAGTAAGACGTATAGATTTAAGTAATGTTTTGATGTCAGTTATTTTAGATTCTATGGACTGAGAAACTTCCTTAGAAGGACGCATGACATCATGACACTGTTAATCACTTAGCATAAGTTCATTTTTGGCTCATGTTTACTTGTTCGTTTTGATTTTTTATGCATGAATTGTGTGAAGCTCTCACTTTCTGCTCCTCATGTTGATTCTTTATGTAGTATTATATCTTATGTTGTGGATGCCTCCAAACATCACCTTTGCCATACCATGAATTTTTTGTGCCCACAGGGCTTGTTGTGTCCTTCAACATAAATGGTCCCCTGGTGATATGACTTGTTTGTTAAAATAGGAATTTAGAAATTTTCCCTTTATGAAGCAGTGAATGTTAAATCTGTTATTTCTTACTCTTATTGTAAAATGATCTGGAGGTGGTGGTCTATGAAGGTGTGATCAGGGAAAAACCATCCAGCAAGGAAGAAGCACAGCAATTTTTGAAAGGTGGGCTTAATGGTTGATTTACATTCTATGTCCCTGATGTTTTACTTCTTGACTCGGGTAATTTTCCTAACATGAATTGCAGACTATTCTGGAGGACATGCAGCAACGGTGGGATCTGTGCATGTTACAAATCTTAAAACTGGATTCAGTAAAGGAGAATGGGATCGAGTGGAGGTATGTTTTGCTTCTTTTCAATCAAACTTTTATCTTTATTTAAAGTGTTTTTATTTGTTTTTATTCGTCTCATGTAGCTTCTGGAACATGAAATTGAATAGTTTACTAGCACCATTATGACAATGCTTAGCCAAAAATGTCTACAAGTAGATCAATCATATCTAGGGATAATATCTATTTGGGATTCCTTGCAGATTTATTTCCACGAAATACCAGATGAAATCATTGAGAAGCTGGTAAGAGTTGTTCTGTATCCAATTTGGACTTTTAACTTATTTCCTTGATTGGTGAGATGATGACAATAGCACCTTTTGCTTCTTCTTTGTCCACGCCAGATTGAGGAGGGGACGGTGCTCAAAGTTGCTGGGGGGCTCATAATAGAACATCCTCTAATTCTTCCCTTTGTTAAAGAAGTGGTTGGTTTTCTACTCTGTGTTCCAAAGTTGTAAATAATAGTCATAGAGGCATTTTTCAGGAGAAGCACAATGGCGCATGTTATAAATTATAATTATGGTACCCTGTGTCCATTTCAACAGTTTTTTGTGTTGTCTTTTCATCCAAAACCTTTTGTTTAATGAATCCTGCAAGCTTGTCCCTTCATGGTTCGGTTGGTGGGCAAGTATATGATCCCTTTACTAGGAATGGGGCCCTTTACTCTCTACTGGATAATCAGCCGTATGTCTCTTGATGGGTCGTATTTGAATTGGTGGTGCTTCTTGCAGGTAGGGACAACTGATAGCGTGATGGGACTTCCCAAAGATCTCACTAGGAGGCTGCTAAAAGAGGCCATCTAGCTGCAGTGGAGCTTCACGATTTGGTTGTTCGACTTCTGATCAGCTCCTGTTCGTATCTATTGTGAACTATGGTTGTTTCTTTGATTTTCAGTGATGAGATTATTAATTATCTTTTCGGCTTTCCAAAGCCTAGGATAGGACTAATTATATATTATAAAGCAAAATTGCATCGTTACCCCAAACCCAGCAGAGGAATTGCATTTTAGGAGGCACCGAGCAAAGCGATTATGGTGCGAGAGGAAGAGCCAGCCATATAGGATAACTATTAGAGGAGAGCGTGGTAAAAGGATAATGTACAAGGTCAATCTGTTAGAGAGGGCCCTAGTGCGAATAAAAGCACATGGGTCTGTCTTGTCAAAATTGCATTGAAAAATGTTAGGTGGATTCTTTAATTTTGGGCTGCACAAGTCGCGGGCCTCCCTATATTGGGCGAGTTGGCACCACACGCCCTTTATGCATACTTGTGATATGCAGGACCCAATCTGTACGGTACAGGAATGGAGGGGGATTCACTATTATACCCAATATAAACACTCAAATTATAAAAAAATTCTATATTAAATGGATTTTAAAAACACACTTCAAGTTCATTTACAATTTCACAAAGAGATTTTTAACTTCTTATAAATTGCAAAATTGCCGTCGATTTCTTAAAACAAATTCAACCTAAAACCTCATAAAATAACCCAAAACACTCAATAGGGCATCAAAGTAATTTAATAATTAAAATTAAATTAAATAAGGCCAATTTTGGGGTTTGTTTATAGACATTAAATAATACATGGTTTATTTATATCATTAGTGTTAAGGGGTATATGACTAAATATCTTTAAAAAAACACACACACACACACACCCTGATCCTTAATGAGACGCCAACCAAAATAAGAAAGCTTTAATATGATAAATTCAAGTGTTTATTATAAACCACTACTAGTAGTTTAGTATAGTTTTTATTTGGTTTGGCCGGCTCTAGGAAACAAGGAACGTTGTTGGCAGTAGGGTTAGGTAAAGCCTCCTCTTTGGGTCTGCGTAGTTTGATGTTGTGCTTTCTTCTCTAAAGCATCTTTTGCATGATGATAGATTAAGTCGGGCTTTGCCTCAAATGTTCTTTTCAAGTTTCTTTTTCTCCTGGGGTGTGCCCCGCCATGTAACGAAAAAATAAAAATAAATCAAAATTTCAATTTTTCGTGTACTTATTTAGGTACCTTGTCTAGCAAATCTTTAGCCTCTTTTTATTTAATAAATTTTTAAAAAAAATTTAGTCAAGGCTGGGCAAGGGCATCAACTGGGCACCAGCTACTCGTATATTCCAGTTTTCCCACGTAACAGTTATTTAACCGTCAAAATCAAGCACTCCATTTCTCAACTCCATCATTGAGCTGCTGAGTCTCTCTCTCTCTCTCTCTCTCTCTCTCTCTCTCATTCATGATCTAATCATCATCATCCCTCACCACACCACACCACACCACACCACACAAAACTTTCACTCCCTCCCCCTCCTCTCCTTTTCGGAGCCTGGAAAAGTCCAACACCTCCGGCCTCCCTCATTATTATATTCTTTTCCCAATTTGACAATTCCCACATTTATATACACTATAAAATACACACTTCAAAACGCTATCTTCGCTCCTCTCTTCTCCTCTCCAATCACAACGAAAGCCACAGCCCTCTTTCCACAGAGACAAAGCCACGCCACGGCCATGGACCCAGGCGGCGCAACCCATGTCGCCACCGCCCGCAGTGGCTCGACCGCCGGTCAGGTCGGCGTTCAGATCCACCAGACCCGACGCCTCCCAGATTTCCTCCAGAGCGTCAATCTCAAGTACGTCAAATTAGGGTACCATTACCTTATCTCCAATCTCTTAACCCTCTGCTTCATCCCCTTGATTATCGTAACCCTAATCGAAGCCTCCCAGATGGACCTTTACGACATTCAGCAGCTCTGGCTTCACCTCCAGTACAATCTCGTCAGCGTCATCATCTGCTCCGCCGTCCTCGTCTTCGGTTTGACCGTTTACATCATGACCCGACCCAGACCCGTTTATTTGGTCGATTACGCTTGCTATCGCCCTCCCGATCACCTCAAGGCTCCCTACCACCGTTTCATGGAGCACTCCAGGCTCACCCAGGACTTTGACGATTCCTCCCTCGAGTTCCAGCGCAAGATTCTCGAGCGTTCAGGCCTCGGCGAAGAGACCTACGTCCCCGAAGCGATGCATTACATCCCTCCCAGGCCCTCCATGGCCGCCGCCAGAGAAGAGGCGGAGCAGGTCATGTACGGTGCTTTGGATAATCTGTTTGCCAATACCCATGTCAAGCCTAAGGACATTGGCATTCTTGTTGTGAATTGCAGCTTGTTTAATCCGACGCCGTCTCTATCCGCTATGATTGTTAATAAGTACAAATTGAGGGGTAATATTAGGAGTTTCAATTTGGGGGGAATGGGTTGTAGTGCTGGGGTCATAGCCGCTGATCTTGCTAAGGACTTGTTGCAAATTCATAGGAATACTTATGCTATTGTTGTCAGTACTGAGAACATTACTCAGAATTGGTATTTTGGGAATAAGAAATCTATGTTGATACCCAATTGCTTGTTTCGAGTTGGGTGCTCTGCAGTTTTGCTCTCTAATAAGTCTGCGGATTGGAGGCGGGCTAAGTACAAGCTTGTTCATGTTGTGAGGACCCATCGTGGTGCAGATGATAAGGCTTTTCGTTGCGTTTACCAGGAACAGGATGATAAGGGGAAGACTGGTGTTTCTTTGTCCAAAGATTTGATGGCAATTGCTGGTGGGGCGCTTAAAACCAACATCACCACTTTGGGTCCTATTGTGCTTCCAATAAGTGAGCAGCTTCTTTTCTTTTCGTCACTTGTGGTTAAGAAGCTGTTCAATGCGAATGTCAAACCTTATATCCCGGATTTCAAGCTGGCATTTGATCATTTTTGCATACACGCCGGAGGAAGGGCTGTGATTGATGAGCTGGAGAAGAACCTGCAGTTGCTACCTATACATGTGGAGGCTTCTCGAATGACTCTACACCGGTTTGGGAATACTTCATCGAGCTCCATTTGGTATGAATTGGCCTACATGGAGGCCAAGGGGAGGATCCGCAAGGGCAACCGTGTCTGGCAGATAGCCTTTGGTAGTGGCTTTAAGTGTAACAGTGCGGTCTGGGAGGCACTTCGGAATGTGAAGCCATCTCGTAATGGTCCTTGGGAAGACTGCATTGACAAGTATCCTGTGAAACTAGTTTCCTAGCTCGAGTAACATTCTTCTGGTTAGACTCTCTCCATTCCGGGTATCCATCAGTGCTAGCCTAACCACTCTATCTTGCATTTGTCACTTCTTGATTTGTACTTTATTTGGTTTTGTTGTATTTGGTACTTGATGTCAAATTGTGGGTTCTCTCTACTTGATGATTCTCGCATATGTTTCAGTGGTTTGTCCAAGGGGCGTTACAGTATGTAGCGTTGCTGCTCCTGTATTGAGATCAATGCTTCAGAATTACCATGTTGGATGATCCTGTATCTCTAATTTTTTTTTGTTAACATTTAGAGTTTAGTTTAGTTTTTTTTATTTTTAAAATTCAGTTATTCAACTTGTATCAGAAGCCTCTTGTATTCAATATCAATAAAATCAATTCATTCAGATGAACATTGTGCGGATGGTATTAGAGTTTTATATTATTGGGCCTTTCTGATCTTGTTCCCTCGTTATACAAACTCTGCTGGTCTTGAACTCTTTGGCTGTTAGGCTCAGGGTGAGAAGCAACCTTAGAAATACACACACACACACACACACACACACTTACAGTAACAGACACATGATTATAATCTCTGAAGAGTAAGAGTTGCACCTTGTATTGATTACTTGAAGTTTTATAGTTAGGGCCTGCCTACTCTTGTCTGCTTCGCATAGTTTACTGCCATTGCTAGTGGAAGAGAGTTTATGTACAAGAAATTGACTGCTTGGGAAGGATTTTGCAAGTTTCTTGGCATCCGGATTCTGAAGCTGTTCAATGTTCATTTATTTCTCTTTCTCCAATTAAGTTTCAAATAGAAGTTGTTTGGAACCTGATAAACTGTGTTGCCTGGAATAGCAATTGAGATTGTGAACCTTGTCAAGAGGAGGATGGCATTGGCATTTTGTTGGCATTAGCTGTTTTTTTACATATTTGTGTGGTACAAATTACAATACAAGTAGGTTTGGTCGCATTTTTTGACTAATTTGAGCTTTATGGTGTTTATCCTGAAAAGAGTGCAATTGTTGCACATGCTCGCTCAACCTGCTTCAAGAGGGGGCCCAGGAACATAATTGAGGAAAGCCAGAGTATGAATTTGAAACTCTTTTTTTCTTCTTTTTCAAAATATAGAGAAAGGAGACGTGTTTTTGTTTCTCGAATGGGAAAGGTGTATGGCAGGCTGCGCATGCCCTGTCCATATAGACTCTAGATTCTTCTGCTGTAGCCTGTAATGTTGTCACAAGAACTGCTTTATTTTATCAGGGTCCTCCCTGGTAGTGTATGTTTGACTGAAGCAGGATTTACTCATCTGGTTTAAAAAAGAGTGGGAATCGCGCTACGAAGAAGTTCATGTCAAAGTATTGGTCGTCGACGGGGTTTCAATTTGATTTATAAGAAGATTTTGTTTTGTCTGCGATTTCAATTGCAAAACTTCACATTCAACTTTTTTGTTTTTGATATAAGTGATATTGGAGAGTGGGAATTGAACTTAGGACCTTATGGAATAGAGATAAATGCTCTTAACCATTTGAGCAGAACTTAGGATCTTATGAAATAAAAATAAATGCTCTTAACCACTTAAGTTATAAGTTCTTTGCTTCACATTCAATCTTTAAACATACAATTGGTACCTATTTATTTCGATCCAATTTCCAGTCATTCCATCGCAACCCAAATGAAAGTAAGCATTGCACTGCTGATATATCAAATATGTGGCTGTTTACCTATGTGTGTTGGCCCCAAATGAAAGCAAGCATTGTAGTGCTGACATATGAAATATTAATTGAACATGTAGCTGTTTATCTGTGTGTGTTGGGTTGTTTTCTTTGTTTCTCTCGTCTTCATCGAAATGAATGGTCCATAGTGATGTAGAACATATGCAAAAGCAATCAAAGAGGAGCTGGAGAGACGTGCATGCAAGGGTAAATTGGGCAAACTGCATATTTGGGCTCCGATCTCAAAATCGAGCCCATGATCCGTCAATTCGAAGAGAACGGAATCACGAGTAAAACTTATGGCATAGCCATGAAGTATAAGATTTTTCGGGCATCCAAGATCGTTTAGCAGCTTGAAATTCAAAAAAAAAGTTTTTATAGTTTTTGGAAACTTTGTTATTTTCCTATTTTAATTCATTGTTTATTCCTAGGGTTTATCGGAGTATTTAAACAAATTTTACCATGTGGTTCCAATTTATCAATAAACCTTGAGGTTTCCTCATATCTTCCTAGTGGATTTCAGAGTTACATGTTTTAGGCTAAAGTTTAGCCAATAAATTGTCATGCTGCGTCAGTTGGCATTAGAGCATGTATGTTCGGCTTGGTGAACAACCCAGATAGAGATGATAGGACCCATAGCACATGGGAAGTTGTTACTCATGCCAAGTTTGAGACCCTGTATGAGGCAGTGGAAGAGGTTTGGCATTTATTGTTAGACATGGGAAACCAAAGCTCTCCATAACCTAATGGAGGTGCCTGCATGCAACGTCCCGTTGTTGAGAGACGTCCTCTTTTTGAGAGTGACGATGAGTCTGAAGAATAGCTCCGTGAACAACCCGTAATTGCACCTAATCAGAATAATTGTAACTAATGCATGGACGATATTTGAATTAAGGCTAATATTCCATATTGTAATGGCCTACAGATTGAAGACGTTCTTGATCGGTTGGTAGAGGTGGAGCGTTTCTTCAAGATTATGGAGGTTTCATAGATGAAGATGGTGAAGATTGTTGCTTTTCGTTTGATAGGTAATGTAGCTGTATGGTGGGACCAACTTCAACAATCGCGTCAGCGACAGGGTAAACAAGCAGTGAGGACTTGACACCGTATGAAGCAATTGATGATAGGGAGATTCCTACCTGCCGATTATGAGCAACACCTATATCGACTCTACCATAATTACCACCGAGGTAATCGAATCGTTTCTGAGTATACATATGAATTTTTACGTTTGGCTGAGCACAATAATTTGGAGGAAACACATGGTCACAAGGTATATCACAAGGCTGAAAAGTTCTCTGCATGAGAAAATTGGGCTTCAGACTTTATGAACAATTCATGAGGCACATAATATGACATTGAAGCCTGAATTACTAGAAAAAGAAAAGCGTAGTTATGAATCATCTGCTCCATCTATGGAGAAAAATAAGGGTGTGTAACAAGTTCCTAGGAGAGTGATGAGTAGAGGAATTTTACCCCATGCAACGAAGGTAGTAGCAAAAATTAGGGAAAAGATCGTAAACAGAGGAACAATCCTTATGTTAGGCCGATGAATCTATTACAGGTGTTCCAAACCAGGCCATCACTTCAGTGAGTGCCCAACCCTTAACAAACAAGTCAATCTAGCTAAGGCGACTGAAGACGAAGATGAGAAGGATAATATTGATGATGATTACGAATGAGTAGAATTTGCAGTGATGAAATGGTAAATTTAGTGCTACAAAGAGTCCTCATATCCCCAAAACAGGAGGCGGGGCAACGCAACAAGATTTTCCGTTCACTTTACACCATTGAAAATAGAGTGTGCAATGTGATTGTTGATAGTGGTAGTTGCGAGAATCAACTATCCAAGAAATTGGTTGATTATTTACAGCTCCTAACACAGAAACATGAGGCTCCGTATGCATTGATGACAGGACCTGCCCCGAATTTCCTTGGAAACAGGGACGGACCCTGCTTAATTACCGACATCACCCTGATGCCGGGCCCACTTACTAAAGACCGAGACTTTCTACCAAAAATTTGGCAGAGTATCGTGGAAATTGAACATTCCCAAACTTCAACCTGCTCAAAATTTACAGTTAATAAACCCAACCAGCAACATGCTTTACAAGCAGTTAAAAAGTTTACAATAAAGGCCTCCGGCCTCACAATTCAAACCCTAAGCGGGCGATACAGAGCATATCTAAGAAATTCAAATACAACAGAAACAGAGTTCCACTGGAAAAGAAAGATGAAGGAGTCCATACAAAGACTCAAGGTTTGGAAGCACTCGATCCGGCTCGACTGCGGAGCTCAGTCACTACTGGCTGGGGGGCGCAAAATAGAAAATTGTGAGTGGACCAAAATAAAGTTCAGTTCAAATAAATCAACGTAATATAACCCTACCGTTAGAAAATCATGCAAGAATTCCAAATGCAACATCTGAATATCGTCATAAACAAGTATATAAACATATACTAAAATAACACCGGATACCAAGTCCGAAATCCGTGAACAACATTTCACAAACCCACCATTCAAAACTTAAAAGTCCCGAAAGAACTCTCGAAAACGTACCCACTGGCACGACCGGCGAGGAAGTATCCTTACCGAGAAATAAGAACGAATGAATATTCATATATATATATATATAATAATATATAATATAATAATAATAATAATAAATATATATAATTATAACCAACATTTAGTTGTACCGGGGAAACAATCCAATCAGGGGATTGTTTGACTAGTCAACATGGCAGAGCCATTCCTGAATTCACCATGTGACCAGGGAACGAGCCGTCCAACTAGGGGACTAACTCTCAACCAGCACGTACAGCCGAGATACTCAAAGCTTGTACACCTGAAAAACCAGTCCTATGCGCACAGACTACCCCAAATCCAGGGTCTACAGCAACATCCTATCAAGGATGTCCCGGGTTCCGACAATTTCAAGTATCTCAAGTATCAGTAACCAAGTTCCAAATCCGGGGAGGTACATAGGGTAGTACTTTAAGCACTCCAAACAAATATTTCAATACTCAACTCTTTCCACAAACTCATTTCAAATATATCAAAACCCAAAATGCCAATACTTCATAAAAATATCAATTTCCACCATTGAAGAAATAATATATCCAAATATACCAATAAACATTATGCATAAATTTTCCCATCATAAACCATGCATATTGATTAAAAACAAAGTCCACTCACAAGTAGTCCCACGCTGCTTGACCCTGAGAGGGCCCCGCCTGCTGCGTATGCGTGGTCGGAGTACCTATTTCAAAAAAACGAACACGCGATTAACATCAAGCGCTTCAAAACAGAATTTTGAATTAAAAACCTAGTTCCCGGGTTTCTAGTGAGTGTATGTGGAAAGAGACATTCTAAGGTCCAACTACCCAAACCGGACGATGGAAAAGCCTCGGGAGACATTCGGTCAATCGGGCAGTCAAACTTCTCAAATCGGGTCAACCGGGCCCACGACCTCTGTTTTTCAATCCGGGAGTTCCTAAAGGTTTTACAAGGTCTAAGATGCACGTCCTGTAAGTTTGGTCCGAAACGGACGGTTAGATTGCTTATAATCACACGATCGGACGGTTATCGTATAACGTAAACTTTAAGTTATTGAATCGGAACATCCGGGGCTCCGATTCAGGATCCAAGAATTCCTACATGATCCTAGGAAGGTCTAAAGCAACATA